TAATATTAAATATTTATAATATAATAAGTAATGATTTAAAAAAAACACATAAATACTTTACTCCTAAATTAACATATAAATACTTTAATTTTTAAATCATTACAATATCACAACCCAACTTTTTAGCCATGGATATTCTTCGCTGAAGTATTTTGTTTGTTTTAAGTCCTAACATTCAGTAGTGTTATCATCTTTTTTATTTACTGAAAAAAAAATACAGGCTTATGTTGCGACCCTCGTGTTCAAATGAATCGTACAATATTGTTGATAAATGAAATAGATATTTATTTAAGTTCAAGAGAAATCACATAGATATTTACTTAAGTTCAAGAGAAATCACATAGATAATTTATAAAATGTACGGAGTGGAGATTCCTTGTGCATACCTATATGCGTCAGAGGGCTCGGAGCGATAAACTCGTAAGTCTTAACGGTCAGGCAATGTACATACGGACAGAGTCCGTGGAATCTCCAATGGTGATGTGTGGGTGACTTGAGCTGTGGAATCTAACTGCCGTCTCGGCTCTCGCCCTTTGGTATTTATGTCGGTCCTGCGATTGCTAGGTGTAGTAAGCCCAAGGCTAGGCGTATTTTATAATCAGCAGTTAATTAATTAATATTTAATAATCAAAAATAACTTATTACGCATATTAATAAATTCGCCAAGGTCCAGCTAAATTTAATAATCAAAATAATATTTTGATTATTTAATAGATTAAAATAGTATATGAGTAAAATAGATAATATATTAAATTCGCATATACGCAGGAAAACCAGGGTAAAGGTGAAAACAACAAGTAGTTTCACGTTTTTACATAATAATGCTAAATAGAGGGCAAAATAAAGTAATATTAGAATTAGGCCACTCTTACGTCATTGGAACCTGTATAAATACGGGTTGAGCATTTAGCATTATTCAGATGTAGATAGGTAGTTAGACTGATCATTTCCCCTGTTAAATAAATTATTGCTCGTCGTGGACTTTGTTACAGCCACATCGCCGCGAGTATATAATTCTTAGCCCAGAATAACTTGTTATTTTAATTTTTTGTGTTTTTAACTGTTTGTTAATTTATTGTGATAAATTAATAAAAACAGTAAGTTTATAAGTTTAATATACCAGTGTTAAATTTATTCACCTACCTATCTCTCTCAACCCACGTCTCAAGATTTCATACAACGTGCTACGTCGTTAAATAATTAATGTGTCAGCGATCGTAGTGTCCTGCACAACGCTCGCTACATAGGTCACTGCTGTTTGGTGAAATCGTCCCGGACGTCACGTACATCCTGTGGCCATCGGATTTCTACATTTGATAATTAGCCATTTGTACGCGCCCTGGGCTGCATCATGAAAATGTGATGTTGCACTCTTGAATTATTATTTTGGAACGATATTTTATTGGAGTAGGTTATTGTATTAATAGTTGTATTTACATTTTAAAAACGTACTTAATTTCTAAGGACATTTCCTTATACAAACGTGACGATTTCTCTTTAACATTTATTATGTGAAGGTGGACACGTACACAATATTTACGTGTCTTACAACACTTATTACATTTAAGTTAAGAATTATAATGTTAAATATGATAAAAATCACCATTCTTAAAAATAAAAATACAATAAAAAATATGTTTGGTAAACTTCCATTATGTATTATTATATATTATAATATATAATTCAAATACTAATAAAAAAAAATACTAATGTACGCAGTATAATTGCATAATTGTGTTACCAGGTAATCTTTAAACATGAATTACATGATATTAATGATCCATTTTTGTTATACCTAAATTATTTTTTTTTAACAAATTGTAAAATATAAAAATAACTTATCTCAGTCAATTAATGTAACATCAACTGTCCATCAAGTTGATCATATGTTCACCATTATTATTCTCTCTTTATTAACGACTTGGCTAAAAATATTAAGAACTCTTTGCTATTACCAGATGATATCAACATTTTTATAAGAAAAATGAAATGTTTAAATGATGTTTAACAACAAGATTTAAATAATTTATTCATATGGTGCAATAACAACAGTAGGTATGATATTAAATATTGATAAATGTGCAACTGTTTCATTTTCTATAAAAAAAAAACACATTACTTACCAACTAATTCACTAAAACTTATATTTGTCACATATAAATATTATTAATGACTTAGGAGTTAATTTTGATTCTAAACTTTCATTTAAAAACCATGTTGATCTTAATGTTTAATTAAAAATAAAAATTTTATCACATACCTGCAGTCTTGGAGATATCTGGATCATCAACGTCTTGTTGGTTGTATTGATTGTTATTATCTAGTTTTAAATATTATATTAGTAAATTAATTAATAAATCATAGATAGTATTTATTTTTCTTATACTGAAATTATATATTATACATAGGCGTGCGCACGGGTGTGGCTTATAGCCCAATAGCCATACCCGGGACTTTTTTTTTAGGTAGGTACTAGGTACTTAGGTAAAAAGGGCTAATAACTTTTTTTGGAAAATCAAGTTTTTATTAGCAATTTTATCAAACTACAAAAAAATAAATTATAATTATTTATAAAATTAAGTATAGGTACTTAAATGTATATTGCTGACGTGCAGGACTGTAGGAATGCGGTTGAGGTTTTTACTATTTTCAAAAAAATTACAATTTATAAATTACAAACAAGAGTGCGCGACAAGCTAACATAATACTGATTACTGATTCGTGGCGCGCCTTATTTTCAAATAAAATAAAAATAATATTTAATTTTAGTTGAAAACGATTGTCATTAAATTGTCAACAAATTTTGTTAACTAAAACAACGGACGGATTCTCAAAATACGGAATCAATATATTATTATTATCAATGGTTTACCATAGGCGGAAATTCTCCATAATTTTAGAGGGGGCTAATATTTAAAAATACTTTATTTTATATCATAGCTAAAAAAAAAAAAAATTATATTACCCTACAAATATCATGCAAAACCTAAGCGTGATTTATTTTAGATAGATATACTACTATACCATGCATATACTGATATACTCATACATATACTTAAATTTTAACAATGAAAACTCTTTATAATGAAACTAAAAAATTTTTATTTTAAAATAATGTATCTATTTTTTTTTTCAAATAAATTTAATATGGCTTCTTTTTCAATTTTTATAGAAATATCTTTCTCAATACTAATTATAGCTAAATTTTTTAATCTATTCTGTACCATGGATGACCTCAGCCATGTTTTAATCCTTCTCATTGCAGAAAAACTACGTTCACATGTTGACGAACTTATAGGAAGAGTAAGTGCAACTTGTATAAGCTTAGACATGTTAGGGTATATATTTTTGGAAAGTACTGAAGTCAAAGCTTCTAAATTAATACTGCTTTTGCCATTTGATAAGTGTAAGTAGTTCTTCACAACATGCATTTCTGATTGAACACTTATACTTTTTACATCCAATAAATCCTAGAAAAAAAAAACAATTATCTTTAATTAGAAATAGAATAAGAATAATTTACAATAAATAAAATGTTGATCCTACATGTCATTTCATTTATTAATTCAATAATATTATATTTTGATAGCAAGTTTTTATAATGAAATTACCTTATAATGATTAATAAATAGTTCACTCTTTTTAAAATCTAATTTTATAAAATTGTCTACAGCTTCAGCCATTTGAAGATTTTCAGTTGAAAACCTTTTCTTCAAATTAACATCTATACAATCTAATATTTTAAAATAGCCATTTACACAATTTGTTTCAGTACTATTTAATGATTCTGCGGCAGTAGTAGTTGTTAGAATGAAATCTTCAAAAACATTGGGTTCATGTCTCATTCGCTTAGATGCTAATAATAAACATATTAAATAAGCTTAAAAATAATATTAATTTAAATAAATAAATATTTAAACAAATATTTTTTATTAGGTACACAAACACAATACTAACCTCGAGTTTGAAAAGGTAGGATCAGTTAAACATCATTTTCATCACAAAAAGTTTTTATGTCTAACCACAAGTCACTAAAGCCAATGGTAGATCTAGCATTCTTAAAACTTAGTATTATGCTGTTTATTAGATTACCTGCATTACCCAATGTAGTAGTTTTATCTTGAAACATGTTGCTAAGTATATTTATGGAAGATAATACATGTTGCAAAATTAATAGAAAAATAACAAATGATCCTTTTTGCATTATTGTAAGTATACCTATAAAAAATATTCAAAACATATTAAATTAATCCGGTGCTTATAATTAGACAATAGTATTAATATTTAATTAAAAATGATATGAGTATACCTATAGCTTTATTTACATTTCGGTCCAGTTGGTTATCTATTTCTTCTTACAAAACTGCAATAATTGCTTAATAATTGTATACAACTGACTCACAGTTTTTCCATCTACAATTCCACCTTGTATCACTCAAAGAATTTATTTTTGATATTTTAACTCCTAATTTTCTATGCATAGTAACTAGAGTTTTATTTTTAGTAGGATGAGAAAAGTGCTTATACAATGATTCTATTGTATTAAAAACAATTCTAGATTCCTAAAAAATAAAAATGATTTAGAAAAAATAAAAACATTTTCCCAAAAAGTAAAATATTGTATTGTATTTTATTACCTTTACAATTTTGCACATATCAATAACTACAATGTTCATCCGATGAGCCATGCAATGGGTGTAAATGGCATAGGGAAATTTGTTTTTTACTTTGGATTGAACACCATTAAATTTGCCAGACATGACACTGGCACCGTCATATGATTGTGCCACAATGTGATATTTATCCAATTGGTTCTCAGTAAGGAATTCAAATATTTTAGCACATAATGAATCTGCATTTTGATTTTCTGAAACGTCTACAAAACCCAGAAAACGTTCAACAACATTTAGACCAACAGTGTATCTAACACATACAGACATTTGTTCTTCTTTAAAACATCTAAAATTAAGTATAAATAGTGAATAGTTAGCATTTATTACTGTTGAATCATTTATTCTTAAATATTTAAATGTTAGGTAGTAGGTAGTAGGTACCTTGCTTCATCAATCATAATTCCAAATACTTTATTACATTTTATTTCCTTGGTTATTTTGGACCGAATGCTCTCTGCAGATAAGTTTACCAATTCATCTTGAATTAAATGACTGGTGAAATTAGTCAAGTTGCTATACTTTTCTTCAAATTCAGGGCAATTTTTTGCCAGTAAATCACATGTTTCTTTAAAATTTCCTATTTAATAAAATATGAATACATATATGTATTACAAATTGTGAACACAATATGGCCTACCATACAAATATGTTCATTGGGGTCTATTATTTAATACATTAAATATTAAAAATTAATTAATTAATATTAAATATTTAATAATTTGTTTATAGAATAAACAAAAAAAGTCATTACTTGACTTTTTATAGAGATTATATGATAATAATTAAATGTTATTGCACAGTAGTTAATAAATAATACTACTCACCTTTATTTGAAGAAAGTTTAAGATTCATCATGTCCTCTGAAAGCCAGTCCTTGTTTGCTCAAAAATAAGGTTATTTTCAATAAGAGTTTTTATATATTTTCTCTTCTTTTCAACAATCAGTTTATGACTTGAAGATAATTGTTCTTGAATGCTAACTGAGGACTTAGTTTTAACATGTTGTTCCCATTTAGTCATGCAAGTCAAATGGTGTTTACAAGTTGAATGTGCTTCAAGTTTACTTTGCTTATTGCCTTTTTTCCCTCTTGATCCAGTTAACTAAATAGTCAATTGAGTATATAATACAATATTTTGAACATGTCAGATTATAATACAAAAAGTATAGGTACCAACTACTATTGATTATAAATATAGCATTTATAATCAATGCTACTACCTATCATTAAGTTTGTTAAACATACTTTTTTCCAATTTTTAAACCCAGTTAATGTAAACACATCATCTTGTACACTTTTTCCGGTAGAATAATGCCGACAGCAAAAAAAAAATAGCATCATTCACAATACTATATTCAATCCATTCATATTTTGAATAGTATTTATCGTTAAAACTTCAGTTTTGTGAACCAAAATTAGTTTTTGGATAAGTCTATAGCACAGTTATAAAATAAAAAATGTTGTATTAACTTCAAGTAGATAGTCTTATATTATTTAAATTCAATATCTCACAAGTACCTCGGTACAAGTAAAAACTAAAAATACTTACTTTTAGCAATGGACGAACAGGGCCTGTGTCTAAAGTTCCCAAATCACTTATCAATTTATTATGCTGTAAATGTTTATTCTATTGTTTTACCGTGCCTGAATGTACAGTCGAAGATGATTCAAATAATGCAGAATCAATTCTGACTTAGTCAATATCGACGGTCGGAACATTCTTTTTTTTTAAATTAAATATGTCAAATACATTTTTGGACATATTTAAAAAAAAATTGAACGAAGTTAAAAAAACGAAACAACACTTAACAGTACATACGATGCAATGGACAATGGTTGAATGGCTAATGAAATAGAAATATCACTGTTGTGTGTTTGGAATTGTCAAATTTTACATTGGTATTTACTATTTCGTCTATTTTTATAACATAATTGACAATTCCAAGAAAATAATGAGATATCGTTGTCTGCGCATTGAAACCAATCATTAGATTCAACTGATATCGTTTATATATAGGTACTAATAAACTAATATACATTGATTCTTAAATATTTACTATGCTGTGCCTCTGTGCTATATGGACTTAGGCATTTGACAATGAAATCAGAAAATATATCACATCCTATTTTTTTTTCGATAATATTCTCTAAATGTTTTATTCGCGTTCCAACAATATTTGAATTGAAAGTTAATATTTATTATTATTTATTGCAGTAACCTGCAGTGATCAATTATTTGAGGGGGCTAATTTTTCTATTTGTACGTTTTGAGGGGGCTAAGACCCCTCAAGCCCCCCCCCAATTTCCGCCTATGTGGTTTACTAAAGATAGTTATCGTCGGTACACCCGGGGAAAGTTTTCGTAATAGTTATATTTTTAGCAATTTACCAATTTATACCACGAATTAATACGTGGTGGAAACACTTGAAACGTGTTACATAAATTATGTAACATATTATTATATATTTTATTATTGCGTTCTTAATATACATATGTGCTAATAATAATATACAGATTAAGAACTAATACCAAAAATTAAATAAAATATTAATCTTTTCCAATTTTTTTTCATATTTATTTAATTTTTCTAAGAAACAAATTTATATTCATCAAAATGTTGAAAGACGCTGCGTTCCCTGCGTTCCTTGATGAATTAAATAAAGGGGTACGCTATAATATGAAGAAGAATCAAGAGTAGCTCAGTCCCTCTGCGTAATTCAACCACTGATTAGCAGTAATCGTTGCGCAACCTGTATATCTTTAATCGTGATGCCACAGCTATTCTGTGGTGCTACTAAGTAGTGATGGGCACTACCGAATGAAAACTATCGAACTGTTTGGTAATTTAAACTATCTATTCACTCGGTTGTTTAACCGTTTAACTCGATTGTTTTCGGACTATCTAAACAATCGACTATTGACCATCAAAACAATCGACTGTTATCGTTGTATCTGAGTAATACTTAATTAGTATTAATGTTTATTTTTTGATTCGTCTATTTCACTGTATGATTTAATATTAGTTTATTATTAATATAAATATATATAATATAATATATTAACATAATTTTTATTTTTTATTATTTATTTACATGTTCAATTCATAATGCCACTTCCCAAAAAAAAAAAAAAAAATTGTTCTATCGTTTGGAAGCATTTTAAAAAGGATGCAAATAACTCAGGCGTGGCTATTTGCACTATTTGTAAAAATAATTATTAAAGATATAATGGTACAACTAATTTATTGGATCACCTAAAAAGAAGTAAATACGCTTAGTTTTGTACTTGTGGTTTGTGACTTAGAAATTGATTTCAGCAGACCACAAATGGCATTGCAAGAATTCGATCAAATCTTCGACTGTTGTTTCCAACAATTAACTAACTAGTAGTAATAGACACTATCAAGTGGAAACTAACGGACTATTCGGTAGTTTAAACCATCTATTCACTCGGTTGTTTAAATGATTGTCTCGATTGTTTTCGGACTATCTATTCATGTATAAAATAATATTTGATGGTTTCGATTAACTCGATTGTTTTTAAAACTGTCGATAGTCAAAACTAGTCGGTAGTGTTCATCAGGTTCAATAGTTCAATCGATATTTTGAAAAATATTGAATAATTAATACTATCATCCGTTTGAATAACCACTCGGTGTTTTATTAAACTATCGATAGACTATCGATAGTCAAAACTAGTCGGTAGCGCCCATCACTAACCGACCATGAGCGGCTCGCCGTGTGACCTGTTCGGCGAACGTTCACGCACAAGTCTAAACGATCGCGCAACGGGCCACACGCGAGCATTGGTCACTTTTGTTCGCTCGTGTGTTCTCATGATGTACCGACATGCGTGTGGATCGACAACGTCACGAATCGAGCGCGAACGAACGATACAGTAAAACCGTACACACTATATTTCTTACACTCACGCTCCGGTGCGTACTCAGGTTTAAAATTTTAGTTGTCACCGTGATAGATCGATAAAGTCTAGTCATTATAGATTTATGTATAAAACCCAAGATAAGCCAACGTGAACGAAAATTCACAAGATAAGGCCACACTGGTACATTAGTTTTCAGAAAATTCTAAACTGTGTATTTGTATTTTTGACACAGTTCAATAGTGTTGAAATATCGACAGCACGACACTCAACCGTCGATATTTACAGTATTCCATATCATTCCTTTATCCATATTATAAAGACAATTTTCTATACATACTGAATTCATATACCTTGTAATTAATAAATTATATCAACATAATCGTCAGCTAATATGTCATCCAGTTCCAAGGAACATGAAGTCAAGATTCCCGAGATGATTGTCGACATTCAAAATAAGAAAAAGTATCACAGATGCAGTTTCCTGGGAAAAGTAACAATTTATAATTTTTTTGTGATCGAAACTTGATGCATTCTTCTCTTCTGTTTTTATTTTCTTTTTTTGGATTACACTCACTGTAGACATTGTAGTTGTTTATTTTAATGAAATATCGATTTATCTGGATTTATTCTAATTTAATATGTTGTAGGCACAAACAGTGGCGTATTTACGGGGGGGGATATGGGGGATAGATCCCCCCCCTTGACCTTTTTTTTTTCCTAAGTAGCTATAAGTTGTCTCATTTTCTCTAATATTCTTAATATGATATTACTTTCAAGCATGTATGTTTTCTGTTTTCTATATGTTCTAGTCGCGGTAATTGTACCGCTCTGATAGTCTGGTATACTAATCTCCACTAATCGTTTATCGTTGGCGGCATGTACGACTATCAGGCAACAAAAACTATACCTATATTATGGTGTATTGTATTTTGTACGTTTCTGCGAATTATTTTTCATGCAAGAGTGTTTATAATAAACCCGATAAGCAATCGGTAAACAAAACAAAATGACCATGAAGACCGTGGATTAACCATAGGGCGGCCGGGCGGGTTTATTTTTAGAAAATTTGTTACTAGTAGATTTATGGCTAATGTATAGCTATATATATATATATTTTATCGTATGATATCGTGATTCGTTAAAAGTAGATATGACGGTCGTTGGTCGTTGACGGATAGCGACGCCGCGCCATTCTGAGAACTGACTTACTGCCGAATTGACTATTGTTCGACTTTATTTTTTGCGTCTTGTAAGTTGTAACTGTGAAGTTTTAAGACAATTACTACGTTTACATGCATCCATTAATTCGTATTAATTTGATACGTATTGAATCAATTCGAATTAGGTCACAAGTATACATACTATAGTAATACCGTATTAGGATAATACACTTCCACCAAACCAGTTTACGTGGCAACGTTTACATGCACAGTTTAAACCGATTTACCTTAATATTCGAATTAATAATTTCATTTTTTCCTTATCACAACAAATTACCGCAATCCTGATTCGGTTGTTGTAGTATCATCCGTTTATATGCATTTTGAACTCCCGTAGTTATTTCCAATGCGCATTTCAAATGTGAATTAACTAAACCGTTTTAGGTAAACCGAATTGGTATAAAACTGAATTAACAGTCGTTTACATGCATTTAACTCCAGGAGTTAACTAATTCGAATTGAGTTAAATCGGTTTTAACTGTGCATGTAACCGCGGTAAATATGAGTAATACTCAAAAACAAAAAAAAACTTTATTTTCTTATTTTAGTACAAATAAAAAAATTTGTTTGGAAAATGATGAGGTAATTATAAAGATTAATTCTTATTTTGCCTTGATCCACACTAACCTCAATAGGTAACAAGTTAGGGGATTTTAAAAATGTATATTATGTACGAATTTATGGCTGTTAGGATGTATTATTATATATTTCATCCCCCCTAGCAAAATTCCTAAATACGCCACTGGGCACAAACAATCAAAGTTAAATGCGTTTTTACATTTCTTTACAAAATTCAGATTTATCAGTAGCTATGACGTTCTTTTATATTGTGGTATAGCGTAATTCTGATTTTTTTTAGAAATTTTAACGTAGTTTAAATTGAATTTTTCTCAAGGACATGTTTGAGTTATGGCCATGGGGGGGGGGGCGAAACTAATATTTCTTCAATACAAACTTAAAAATAATTTTTCATTACCTACAGCTCATGTTTCTGTTATAATGATAGCATTATAATGATAACTAATAATTTATATTCTTAATTATTTATACATTACATTTTTTAAGTAAATCAATGTATTATATTCAACAAAAATACGAGCCATGGGGGGCGAATTCCCCCTTTTCCCTCCAAATACGCCCTTAATTTTTTAATATGTAAAAAAATATTAATTTGTGATTACATCTACGAAAAAGATTAATTTAATTAAATAATTTCATGATGTATAAAACGATGTGTAATTAATGATAATTTGTAATATTTTATAATTATATAAGAAACATAAATTTCCAAAGGATTATTTATTTTGAATATTCAGCTGTTCTGACCATTATATTCTTTGCTTATTGATATTGATAACTAATTAAACAATTTATCTAAAATTTACATTTATGCATAATGATGATAAACATTTGCCGTATATGTCTATATGCATCACACATATTTTATTATTTATAATTGAAAATTGTCATGTAGTGGCGTACCCAGAAATTTTTTATGCGAGGGGGGTCCAATATTTTTATTTTCTCTATTCTCTAATTATAATTACAGTTTAATTCAACACCAACAAATTACTGTAATAACTATAGTAATAGTCGCAATAGTTATACACGCATCACAGATATTATACACAAATGTTTAATATAATAGGTAGGTACTATAATTTGAAATCAATTTTTATTTAGTAGTAAAATTTTATAAAAAAATACATTATTCAATTGACAATTTTTTTTTATTTTTTTTTTTTATATTATTAATAAAATAAGACATTCCTAGCCGTTGCAGGCTATCTATATCTATGGATAAAAGACAATATTAGTTTGTAGCTATTTTAAAAGGATAATTATAATTATAAAAAAAAAA